AGTCTCTTGGTTGCAACAATGCACATGGCTGTATCAATCCAGGGCTTGATTCTGTAAGGTAAGACTAAGAATGCATGAATAGCCCTTGGCCTCAGTGTTTGGAACAGAGTTTCTAATTTTGGGTCACAATGAGTTATACAACATCTTTTTTTGCATTTCTTGAAGTTCTGTTGCGTTCAGTTGGTGGGATTTTAATTGGCTCAATCTTTAACTGGAACTATTTTATTTATTTTATTTATTTATTAGAACATTTCTATGCCGCCCCTTGCCAAAGCCTCGGGGCGGCTTACAACACAATAAAATACAATAAAATACAAAAATAACAATATAAAATTAAAATTAACAATATAAAATAAATAAAAAATATAAAAGATATAAGAGAAGTTATAAAAGAAAAGAAGTCGCCCTGGCCAGATAAATAAGTAAATATTGTTAACAATTAAATTGACGTTTAAATAAAAAGGTCTTCGCCTGGCGCCGAGAAACAAATAACGACGGCGTCAGGCGGACCTCTCTGGGGAGCACATTCCATAGATTGGGCACCACCGCAGAGAAAGCCCTCCTCCGAGTGCCTACCCTCCTAATTTCTTTCACGGAGGGTTCCCGGAGAAGGGCCTCTCCCGCAGATCTCAAGGGGCGGTCGGGCATATATGGATGTAAGCGCTCCTTCAGGTAACCAGGACCCAAGCCGTTTAGGGCTTTATAGGTCATAACCAACATCTTGAATTGGGCCCGGACTTCAATGGGAAGCCAGTGAAGCTGACGGAGGACTGGAGTCATGTGAACATAACGCCCCGTCCCTGTCAGCAACCTGGCAGCTCTATTTTGAACCAATTGAAGTATCTGGACCGTCTTCAAGGGAAGCCCCACGTAAAGCGTGTTACAGAAGTCAAGGCGGGAAGTCACCAGCGCGTGTGTCACCGTCGCCAGGCAGTCGTACTCCAGGTAGGGGCGCAGCTGATTAATCAGCCGAAGCTGAAGGAAAGCGCTCCTCGCCACCGCTGTCACCTGAGCTTCCAATGAAAGCTCCGGGTCGAGGAGTACTCCTAAGCTGCGGACCTTGTCCCTAAGAGGGAGTGCAACCCCATTCAGGACCAGGTCAAATCCACTCTCTCCGAAGCCCGATCCGCCAACCAACAGGACCTCCGTCTTGTCTGGATTGAGCTTCAGTTTATTGGCTCTCATCCAGCCCATTACCTCGGCCAAGCACCGGTTCAGCACAGCCACTGCCTCACCTGGATTAGTGGAAAACGAGAGGTAGAGCTGGGTATCATCAGCGCAGAGCCATAGTCCCCCAGCACTACCTTCTGGAATTGGCCGTTGAGATAGGAGCGGTGCCTCTGACCCCCAATCCCGCTAGCCTATCCAGAAGGATACCATGGTCGATGGTATCGAAAGCCGCTGAGAACTAACCTTAATTTTAACTTGTGAAGTGGAGGGAGTTTGGATATAGCATACCTGTTTGTGTTTGCTATTTCCTTGCCCTGGTTTTTTTCCCCCTGTCATGGCAGTTTTCCTATGTAGAGTAGATCTCTCACAGAAGTCTGGGAACTGAGTGGGGATTTTTTTTTAATAATATTTTTTTATTCAAAATTTTTAGTCCTAAAAACAAAGAAAAACTAAAAAGAACATCAATCATCAAAAACATTGAGCCTGCTGGGTCAGCCCCCATATTTTTTTTCCATTTATGATAACATAGAAACATAATCTATACGAAGTTCCGTTTCTCTAACCTATAATAAAAAGAGTCCCAAGTTTGATAGAAATCAGTATCTTCTTTCTCCTTCAATGACAAAGTCAATCTATCCATTTCTGCACAGTCCAAGATCTTTTTTAGGATCAGTTTGTTGGTGGGTGGTTCTTCACTTTCTTGTGTTGAGCAAATGCAATCCTCTCCACAGTAATTACATGTAAAATCAAGTACATTTCTTGTTTACTAATATCAGCAGGTATAATGCCTAATAAGAAAATTTCAGGTTTAAAAGCTAAAGATTTTTGTAACATTTCCTCAAGCCATTTATGTATTTTAATCCAATACTTCTTCACATTATCGCAAGTCCACCACATATGATAGAAAGTACTCAATTTATGTTTACATTTCCAACATCTATTTGACATATTTGGAAACACCTTAGCTAATCTATTTGGCAACAGATACCATCTGTAAAACATTTTATACAGGTTTTCCTTATACAAAGTTGCTAATGTTACCTTAATATTTCTCTCCCACAGCTTTTGCCATTTTTCTAATTCAATATTATAGCCAAAGTTTTGTGCCCACATTATCATAGTTTCCTTAACCTGTTCATCTTCCATTCTCCTATCGAGGAAGAAGTTATATAGTCTTTTAATCATTTTCTCATCTGATTTAAGCATCACATGATCAAATGCTGTTAAATCTTTATAAAAGCCCCACATTCTATAGTCTTTAGCATATCTTGATTGTATCTGCACCTTATGCCACCAAAAGATATTAGATCCTTGTTCTTGTGTTTCTTGATTAAATTTCAATCCTCCATCCTTATCCAAAATGTCATCATATCTTATGATCCCTTCAAAGTTCAATGCATTTGGATATACCAAAGCTTCCATAGGTGAAAGCCATCTTGGTAATTTATCATACAATTTTGTCTTTAACTTTTCCCACACCGACATTAATGATTGTCTAATATAGTGACTTAAAAATGAGCCATGTACCTTAGCCTTTTCATGCCACATATAAGCATGCCTGCCCATCTGCAAATCATGCCCTTCAAGATACAAGATTCTCTTGTTTCTTAAAGTTATCCATTCTTTTAACCACATTAACACAGAAGCTTGATAGTACAACATCCAGTCAGGGAGACCAAAGCTCCCATTCTCTTTAGCCTCCTGAAGTATTTTTAATTTAATCCTTGGTTTTTTCTTTCTCCATATAAATCTTGAAATTTGAAAATTTAAATCATCAAAAAACTTTCTATCAATTTTTATGGGAATCATTTGGAATAGAAACAAAAGTTTTGGCAATATATTCATTTTAACTAGTGCTATTCTTCCCAGCAAAGATAATTGCAGATTAGCCCATTTTTCCAAATCACTCTTAATATCCTTCAATAGTTTATCATAATTGTCTTCTTTCAGAGTGGTACACTTAGCTGTAAGATAAATTCCCAAATATTTAACCTTTTTAACAATCTGCAAGTCTACTTGTTCCTGCAGAATTTTTCTCTGGTCCTGTTAAGATTTTTTACTAACAGTTTCGTCTTTTCTCTATTTTCATCCCAGTAACCTCGCCATATTCTTCAATCCTTTGTAGGAGTTTAGGCATTGTTACAAAGGGTTCCTCCGTTATGAAAACTAGATCATCTGCAAATGCTTGCAATGTATAGCTTTCATCTCTGATTCTAGTACCTTTAATGTCCATGTCATCCCTGGTATTTCTGTTTAACACTTCTAAGATCAATATAGACAAAAGAGGTGATAGCGGGCATCCTTGTCTTGTACCCTTTTGTATATCTATAATATTTGTGAATACTCCATTGATTATAATCCTAGCAGACTGCTTTTGATAGATGCTTGATATTGCATTAATAAACTTTTCACCAAACTTCATTTGAGCCAACTGTTGCTTCATAAATTGCCAGTTAACATTGTCAAAAGCCTTCTGTGTGTCCATGAATAATAGTGCCATTGGTTTTTCCGTATGCATCTCATAATACTCTATGATGTCCAAAATAGTTCTCAAGTTATTCCTCATTTGTCTTTTTGGTAAAAAACCATTTTGATCTGAGTGGATTAAGTCTTTTAGATACTTCTTCAATCTTTCTGCCATTATGGAGACAAAAATTTTGTAATCCACATTTAATAGTGATATAGGTCTATAATTTTGAATCTGCATCAAGTCCATGTCTTCTTTCGGTATTAATGTGATATTTGCCTCTGTCCAAATATTTCGTATTTTAGCATTTAACAATGCTGCATTACATATATCCTTAAGAAGTGTAGCAAAAATTCCTTCAAAGGATTTATAAAACTCTGCTGGTAGCAGAACTGAGTGGGGACGTTGACATGCTCCAGTTAAGGGCACTTTCCACTGGAATATGGGCCTTAACCTACGCCTCTCTCATATTGGTTGATCGTTGGCTTAGAATTGTACTCTTTGTATTATAAAACTACGTGCTAATAATGTAATATTTTGTTACAAATCTAGTAAGAGTAAATGCACTCTGTAAAAGAATGAAAACATATTAGTCACACTTAAATGGAACTTAAGTTTATCATGACTGATTTTCATGCTGCCTTCAATACAAGTTGTAAGTTCCTAGTTTAGTCTGGCTTTAGCTGATTGAAAAGGGAAAGCATTTTGAAAATATTTAAGGTGTTTTATTTCATAACCAAAGTATTTCATGGTTGCTATAAAATTAAACTAAAACCATGTTTTGGTTTAAACGTGCACCTGCAACTAGAGCATTGTGTTCAATTCTGGGCTGCACATTACAGGAAAGATATAGCCAGGTTAGAATCGGTGCAGTGTAGGGCCACAAGGATGCTGACCAGATTGTGGGGGAAGCTGTATGAGGCGAGACCGAGGGTACTGGGTCTTTTCCACTTGGAGAAGGGGAGACTCTGAGGGTATCTATTGGTGACATATAAATATGTGAGGGGGTGTCACATGGAGGTGGGTTGAGACCTGTTTTTCCCTGCAGAGAAGGGCAGGATGCATCCCAGTGGAACAAAGCTCAGGGAACCAAGGTTCAATTTGGATGCCTGGAGGTGTTTGAAGCCCCATTGGTGAGGGCATTCAAGGATAGGCTGGACATGTGCATGGTCAGTATTTCATGAGCCGAGCTGGCTGGAGCAGGAGGTCAGGTTAGATGGCTCTGGAGGCCCCATCTGACTCGCTTTGTTTCTATATTTCTGTGTTTCCATGTTTTCTCCATTTCTGTATGTGAAACTTAGTACCTTGCTATGAAGGGGACAAGTCCACCACCAGTTATTACAAGAGGTTCTTCTTGTTTCAGCATTCTGTGGACCATTTCACCGAGTGCATCTTGCTGATGAATTTATTATGGAGATGAAAAGGAACAAATCCTTTGCAAGACTTTTCCAGCCATGAATGAAAATGCCTAATGTCCACAACTAAAACGGGTGAGTTAATAATGCAATATCTGTAGTCTAAATCTGTAGTCTGAAATTGAATCCTGGTCTCTAAAAATCTCTTGCAACTGTTTCCCTCACTGTATTTTAGTGAACATCGGAGATATTCTTAGAAATATGGTGGGCAAAAGGTCAATTTGCAACTACTGACAAATTTCTGGGTTATTTGCAGTAGTTTGAGAAGGGCTTGTGGTTGCCATTTTAACAGCAAGAAAATAATGTTTCCCTCCTGAATTAGAAATGAAAAAAACAACTTGGGGTAGCATGCAGTGGGCTTAGATAGGAAAGAATGTTGAGCAGTAACATTTTCATTTTATTCTTTACTTACAAATTAAAAATATACCATTATTAGATTATTTCCTCCCTCAGGCTCGAAGCCAAAGAAAATTTCTCACCATATTTTTCTCTTGAGTAGATGCAGGGACCCTAATCAAGATTGAGACCCTAGAATGAAATGCAGGGGGCTTTAACATTTCTCCTGCTATTCACCCAATCCAGATTAGGGACCAGTAACTGCAACTTGTATTACAAAATAGAGATTTTTAAAGCAAATACAGCACTATTTTGTGCAGTGACTGTGCTCTTCTCTTGCTCATTGCAGACTATCCAGACGGATTTGTCTGACTCTGAGGACGTGGTGCAGGAAGGGTGAGGACTTTGAAGCTTGAAGGTCACCTTTGGTTCTCAGGCAGAGTGTGAGGCCTGCTTTGGAAGTGGCAGAAGAATTTCCATTGTGGAAGGGTGAGCGGATGTGAGACCCACTCCTTGACCCAGTAAGGAAGTGACAGGAGAAACAAGTTGCTCACTTAGAGGCTCTTGGGCAGTCCCACCATCTTGCCCTTAAGCAGTAATAACTACTCTCAGGGTCAGAAACATTACTGAAAGGGAGGGACAGTGGGGAAAATTTCAGCTTGGCTCTGTTCATGTGGACAGATGTTTCTCCCTCCCCTCAACCTTGATGGAAGGCTATTTAAAGTTCATACTGTTCTGTAATCTGTTAAGTTGCAATAAAAGAACTGCACTTCAGGGAATTGTATTGAGTCTGATAACCAAGAAAGAAAGAGGAAGGGACCAGCTCATGACATTTTGCAACAGAAATTTCAAGCATGGGAGTTAAATGAAAAGGAAAAACATCATTTTGCTAATAGGGACTGACTGATATGAACATATCATGCCTGTCCTCTTTCAACTATATTGGTTACTGATTGAAGATCTGTCCTGATTCAAAGTGTTAACATTGATATTTAAAGCTCCAGATGGTTTGGGGCCAGGTTATCTGAAGGAATCCTTCCTTCATTGTGTGTTTACTCTAAACCTCAGGTAATCAGCAGAGGTCCTTCTTAGGAACCCCCTCCAAAGGAAGCAAGGAAGGGGGAGGGACTTCTCAGCTCTGGCATCTCATCTGTGGTATCAGTTCTCCAAAGAGGTGTGCCTAGTTCCCACTCTTTGTTCCTTCTGGTGCTGGTTGAAAACCTTCTAATTTTCCAATAGTTTAATAGTTAAATTTTTATTTAATTTTTTTACTGTATTTTACTACTCTACACCTCTAGATTGGTTTAGCTGTGCCCACGGTGGGTGGATCATTGCTTTATTGTATTATTATATTTATACTAATTGTATTATTTTGATCTTATAATGACTTTTACATTAAGTATTGTATTTTTTATTTTGTGAACTGTGCAGAGAGCCTTTGGGCTGATGGGTAGTGTAGAAATATAATAAATAAATAAATAAAGGTTCAAGCCCTCTGTGTCTCACGTAGGCTTCTGATCCAGATCATGGTTCATCTGCATACTACAGAGTAGACAGAACCCTCCCTCAGCAGTCTGTGGGAATGCATCATGGAGGGACTCCTCATGGGCAGGGGGTGCCAGCAGCCACAGTTTCACTCGGAGGAGGCAGGAACAATGTGTCCAACTGACATAGCTGTGTTACCTTGCTTGCAAGTTGTAGTGGGCCATACTAAGGGCTCTTATCATCCAACTTGCGTTTGCTAGTAATTTTGCTAGTATTACATAAAATAAAAATATTTTCATAATCAAAATGCTTTGTGGAATGTTTATATAATACAGAAAAAAGAATGCTTCTTGCATCAGATATCTCAATAACATGGTGCAAGCATTGTCTATATTAATAATCTAAGAGTTATATGCATAAGAACCATAGAATAATCTGCCCCATGGGCAAAATGGTGCTACGAATACACAGAGGCATAGCCTTAGTGCCTTATCCCATAACCAGTCATCCATATTGTCTCATGCAGCTGAAATGTTGCCTGATTACCTATCCATGGACTAACATACTGTTACTATTACTTTGTGAACTGACTGGCAGTCAGTCCTTTGTGACATAGCAAAACCTGTGCAGTGGAACACGGAAACCTTTGAATGCACTTATTTTGTTTCAAAATAATTTTATTAATCACAGTGCAATTACTTTGGCTTACCTCTCTATTTATTAATAGAATTGTTATTCTATCTAACAATTAAATACATTAAAGTACTACTTAGTGAAAAGTTTGAAAATAGAGTTTAGGTTTTGCTCACAAGTTCAAAGAAGATGAAGAGGATGAAGAATTGGTCTGAAATTTCTTACTTTCATTCAGGCCACAAATAACTTTCTATGCTGTCAAGTAGTAACTTTCTGCTTATTCAGGCCCACATCTATTCAGAGATTATATTAATCTGTGATATTGATGCATATTGGTTTAAAGGGGGATACACTTTATTTTCTAGGGAATGTATATTTACCATACCATTAAGTCATAACTTTTATGGACTGATGTATAAACAGTTGAATAAATCCATATTCCTAAATTAATGTATTATACACAACAGTTACTTTTGTAACTTTATGTGTGGATTATTGTCTTGACACAAATGATCTGTAGTGCAACATAGGTAAATATAGGGAAGACATAGGATTTGATATATGCAGTCTGCTTCAGTGAGAAAGATCTGCATGTCTTTCCCTCTGAACTCAGAATCAGTTGAAAAAAATGGTCATGTATTCAACAGAATGAAGAAAGATTCTTGTAGGCAGCCATGGTCATATAGACCCTACTATGCAAGAATTTAAATCTAGAATGGAATTAGTAATTTTAAGAACTAGGAGGATTGGTGCTAAGGAAACCGTTTATTTCTCATTTGAATACAGATTAAAAAAAGGAAATGCGGTGTGCTTTCCTTTACATACATTGTATATATTTCCTTACTACCCCCAAAATACGCTCCAAGTTTTCTGTGAAGAACACCTGAAAAAGCCTGGGTATATCATGTCATGTATATACATCTGACATGGTCAAAATCTTGATCGCACTTTTGAAGGGGTATGAAAATGCACCTAATGAATGTCCAACCCCAGCAATCCTTATGCTTCCTAGACTGCACCTCTGTTTTTCCAAAAGGGATGACAATGGTATTCCCAGAGTAGTTGAGATATTAGAACTGGAGCTTTAATCTAACAAATGTGCATGTGTACGTGTGTGCTTGCTCTGACTCATCCTCTCATTTAACCAGTCTTTTTAGTCAGCTTTGTCTTTTGCTTGCTTTAGTAGACTGGCTTGTGTTATCTGGTATACCAGAGGAAACTTAAAAGGGTTAGTCAGGACACTCCTCCTCGTCACTCTATTCCTTATCTCCTTCAGTTTTTTTTTCCTTTCACAACAGGCAATTAGCATCCCATGTCCACATGCTCCTTTCTGGAACAGAGTGGGTCACCAGTTTGTTCAGATAGTACAAGAATTCCAGCTAGTCTCTGGGGTTATTTTTAGAAATACTGTAGAAGAGCCCTGTTGCACAAGGTGGAACATTTCTGCTCAAAACTGCCCAGAAATGGATGTAGATATTTACCCCGGATCCTGCTTCTGAATGCAATGTTTCCTCACTGCTTTGTGGATATTGGAAGGCAGCCAGTGGTCTGTTCCTGCCTTATACAGCAGACTGTTGGCAATCCAAGTAAACTTTGTTCTTGTCTTCTTCATCATCATAAAACTTTATTTCAGGAGGAGGGGATGCAATTTTAACACTGTAATATATACAGCCTAATGTGTTTTATAAGTCTGGTGTGCTTGATCCTAGACATTTTGGTTTTCTTCCTAATACAATGAGCCAAATATTGGGGGGGAAATACTGATCTTAGCTGCCATCATAAGGAACAGCTAGATTTCATAAACAGTTATGAATGTTGGCAGCTGCCTATCATACTGTATAACGTCCTGTATAGCACATGAAGACAGTGTCAACTTACATTTTATCTCTGAAGTAGTTTCAAAGCATTTATTTGCTTTCTCTTGAGTCCTTAACCTAATTCAAGTAACATAATTGGCTGAATATTTTTCCACATAACTAATTGGCTAGTTGCCAGTGTGGAAACCATTGTCTGACTTGATGATGATCAGAAATTAACATGACATTTGCGTAGTGGTAATGGAATATATTAGTAATGTAATTCTTGACTGCAAGAAAGAGTCCATCATCTCTCCTAACCTACGATCAGCAGGATGGGGTGAAAGAATGATGAAACGTTCCCAGCAGGCAGTTCCCAGCAGTGGCTAGCCAATCGCTATGTCAAACTCTGTTTTAAATTCTTCAGACAAAGCTGAAATGCTTACCAATTAATTACCACAAATGTCAATTAAAAATCTACCAAATAATGCAGTAAGATTAAATTTCAATTAAAAGAATTACATTTAACAAGAGGGATATAACATTATTTTAATGAATTCTGCTGAAGGTGACAGATAATATACATAGGTTTGTGCACCATAGGTGGATCTGGATTCATTGGGCAGTGTGAACAGTGCAACTTCATAAATATATTAATTGTGAAAATTATTTCCACCATAGGCATACCCTTAAGGAGTTAGGAGCCTCAAAATACCACATACTATCAAATAAACAAAGCCTTCTCTACTGTTTCAGCATTTTTATATCTTACAATTATATTAGTTTACATCTATATCATCTATCTATATCTATCTATCTATCTATCTATCTATCTATCTATCTATCTATCTATCTATCTTTGTATCTATTTAGAGCTTGCATTAGTGGAATAGGACAGGTGACTGCATGAATTATGGGAGAAAAGCTATTCTCATTAATTATTGTCTCCTCCCCCATTTCACTCTCCCCCTCATTCATCTCCCAAAGTAACCAATTATTTTAAATTTGTTCTGCAATGCTCCTAATGGAATTGTGCTATATGAAGGGCAGGCAAATAAGGACTGCAAGTCATGTCCATCCCAGGGGGCAGGGCGGCGGTTGCCAGCCCGTACAGCCCCATGCTGTTTTTGTCAGTGATTCACCTGCACTGTGTTAATTCCACAGGGAATTATTGACCCTTCTATGTATTACACAGCTTTCAGAGAGCAAAGTTTTGGCCTAAGGTTTTGGACTTAACAGAGTCTACAGGCTTTATGTTGCCTCTTTTTGTTTTGTACGGAACAGAGTTTATAATCTATAATGGTGTTCCAGATAAACCTTACAGATTGGCTATTTGAGATAGAGAACTGTATTTATGCTAGACAGATATTAATACCTTTCTTGCCTAAAGAAAGTTAGTTATCTTGTCCATTCTTATGCTGCATCTGCAGCACAGTAATGATAACACTGTAAAAATGTGTGGCGTGGATAGGAGACAACAGTTGCTGTATCATGCCCTGTTGTGCAGTGCCTCTATAATGGACTTGGTTGTGAAAGTGTGCCAGTACAAAAGGGAAGAATAGCATTGGCCTTGTG